AAAAAAAATCCCTCCCGAAAGATGGGAGGAACAGCACGTGCTTTTGACACAACTATGAGAAACTGCCTTCCATGTTCGGGGTTCTTCCTGAGCAGGTGCTGCCCATCCAGGATGGTGCTCTGCTAGAGCCCAGCGGCTGTGACCAGTGCCTCATTTACTCGATCCTCACTGTGCTGTGCTGACCTCAAAGCTCTGCTTTCTAACTGGCTGCACCCTCACCGTTTTCTGTGGGTTTCTACGCTTACGAGGACATCGCCTGCTTCTTCCGGACTTAGAGCTCCTGTAACCTCATGCCTCCCCCTTGCCCACACAGGCTGTCTCTGGCCCCCCACTGTTCTGTCCCTCCCTGACTCTTATCTTGGCCTCACTGTTCAGTGTCAGATGACGGACACGATGGTGACAATTTGGGATCAACGCCAAACCTAAGAAGGTTTGTGTGGGACTCCTCCTCACTCAGCCTTTGAGGGTATACACCTTGATAAGCACCTAACCTTAATACCTTTTCTCTTCTTGACCATTAAGAAATCCTGTGTTTCAAATGCTTTGAAACATTGCTCAGATAAGTCATAAAAACAAGTATGAGTGTGAAACTTGATATTTAAAATATTTGTGTCAGTTTATGTAATCATTCAAAGTAAACTTACATTATCTTTTAAAGGAGCATTTTGTTCAAGACATAAATGCTGAGCTTATCTTTATGGTGTTCCAAGCACCACATTCCAGTAGTAGACACAAAAATTATCTAGTCGTTTTCCCTTTCAAACACACACAAAAGCTAGTATGTATAATCATCTTTAGCGAGAGATTAGATCACTTCCTGATTGTTCTGGCTATTCCTAGAACTGGTGGTTCCTGGCAGTTTGACTGCTATAAACTGGAATGTGCTGTGCCTGTGGCCACAATTCCTGTCATGTTAACAAATTTTCAAACTAGGGATGTAAAACTGTTCAAATACATGAAATGCTTGAACATTTCGAAGCCAAAAAGAAAAAAATTGGATTGCTTACTGTCAAAGTACTGGTGTCCTGGGTGTCCCAGTTTCTCACTCATGTAGTTTATCTGACGGGACGGGGTGCTACCCTGTAAAGGTAATTATACTATTCTTATAGAGATGAGGTAGTAATTTCAGCTTTCAATTTAAATTATTAGGTTATTGTACAATATTTACTTTAATAATCATCTTCCTCCAATTATAATACACTCCTGTTTAAAGGCTGACAAAGTGCCGTTATTACTATTTTCTTTCCAGGTGTTTGTACTTTTATCTCCTGTTGCTATTGCAGCCTCCTCAGGTGTCTCTTTCACTTCCTTCCTGAACTGAGGCACAGTTATCAACGCCGGAAGGTACCTTACCAGTGATTAATTGGGACAGCAACACCTTTCACAACTTTCTGCAGATAAAAATGGTCTATCACTTGTGCTGTCCAGTACAGTAGCTGCTAGCCACATGTGACTACTGAGATGTGGCTAATGTCACTAAGGGACTGAACATCCCATTTTATCTGTGTTACGTTTGGATTTATATAGCCACATGTGGGCACTGGCTGCCACCTGGACAGTGGGGTTCTAGATCAGCTGCTCCCGTCTCCCTCAGGCTGCGATGACCTGAGACTCAGAAGAGAAGTGATTTATCTAAAGTTATGGATCCCTAACCCACTGTTAATCCTCAGCAGCTCCTACTGACTACTTACTGCTTTCCTTCCCATTTTAATGTCTTCTTTTGCCTGCTTTTCTAAGGGTTTCCTCTTTTTTATCATTGGCAAACAAAAATTACACAAAATGATTATACCCCCTACTTTAAGATAAAAAGGGAATATTTAGGACATTCTATCAATAATGATGAAAAACAAGTACTATTGTTTTAGTTCTTAATTTCAAAAGCAGTTTTCATGTATTTTAACTTAATATATCTGGTGGGCCTCAATTATAACACCTGAGCTTTACAGAAGGGGAAAAGAAGGCAGAGAGAAATCGGAATTGTCTAGTCTAAAGTCAGACACTGAATAGTCAGGTGAAGAGGAACCAGGAGTTGGAATTCACCCAGGAAACATGGTTATCTTGGGCTGCAAGTGAGCTGTGTTGTCAATGGACAAGGCTTTCTGAAATAACTCAATTCCTCCAAGAAACTGAACTAATTTAGAAATAAAAGGAAATTTTACTCAGGTAGATTCTGTGGTGCCAGAGACATTTTTAATGTCAGCAGAAGCTCTGCCTACATTCGGGCACCGTAAGGTCTCCAGGGTGGATTCTGACAACCAGGCCTGAGCTCCTAAGGCACGCTGGTATTTCCACCATGTTAGTAGAGCTTCTGTGCTGTATGAATTCTCTGGTGTCTAATAAGGGCAGAGCTTACACGGAAGGGCCTGCCACACTCATCACATTCATAGGGCTTCTCCCCTGTGTGGATTCTCTGATGCTGAGTAAGACCTGAGCGCCCACTAAAATCTCTCCCACATTCTTTACATTTATAGGGTTTCACTCCAGTGTGTACTCTGTGATGTCCAATGAGATGTGAACGCTGACTGAAGGCTTTTCCACACTGATCACATGTATAGGGTTTCTCTCCAGTGTGAGTTCTCCTGTGTTTACTAAGGGCTGAGCTCTGACTGAAACTTTTCCCACAGTCATCACATTTGTAGAGTCTTCTTTCCCTCTGTTGCCACGCTAATCTGCCCTCATTTTCAGCAGCATCTTTGGATTCTGGATGCTGAAGAATGTCTTTAAGTCTGTCATTTACCTTCCCAAGGAATTCCATGTTTGTGGGCATATCTTCCTTCTGCGACAACTCTTCATTCGTAGTCCTGGTTTTCTCACCTGTAACAAACATTAGTATGTTAACAGGTTCTCGTTTAGATTTGAGAAGCAAAAAGCCTCTGCAAGACAGAACAGCAAATGTTATAGATGTTATAAAGAAAAGTCACATGCAATGTACAAATTAGAGATCTGGCACCATCAGCACCATCGTATTGATGACAAAGGGATGACATCAAGAGGCCAGTAAGAAAGACAGCCACAGCAGGGTGTGATCTGGGGACAGATGACGAAGAGAGGGGAGGGAAAGGTGCTACCTGGTGACCCTGTGCACAGGCACAGTGGTAGGCGGTACCGCGCACGGCCCACACGCCAAGGACACTTCAGGGGGAAAAACAGGGAGGCTGAAGACCAGATGGTGAGGGAGGTGAGTCGGGGGGCAGCGTGCAGGGGCCTGAGATGTAGGTCATGTGTAGGAGTCCAGCCAAGTGACAGTGAGTGGAGAGGACAACGCATCAGGGATCAGAGAGCAGTGCAGTGAGTGGGGACCACCAAAGGAGGGAGGGAGGAAGGGAGGTAGCAGGGCGTGACGGTGGACCGTCTGCTGTATGTGCCACATTGAAGCCTTTTTTCTGAAACTTACCAGTCCTGATATTGTGTCCTGTCAGAAGCGCTGACTACACCTGGCTGACACTCTTCCCATGGCTTCAGCGACACCACCCCCTCTGCTTCTGTTACCTCTCCTACAGCCCTTTCCAGAACCATCTTCCTCTATGTAAAATTGAAATGGTGTTCTTTATTCATTCTTCCTGGTCAACCTTATCTACACCCGTCTTCTGTCACCTACCCAAGGATGACTCCTGTCTCCATCTCAGCCCATACCTTCCCCTACATCCAGAGCTGTATTTCAAACCACGTGGCCTCCTGGACTTCGTCTGCTCCATGTTTCACAGCCACTGCAAACTCACGTGTAAAAACTGCATTCACTCCACGCAGATACGGCACACCTTGGAGACACAGCGGGTTCCATTCCAGACCACCCCAGTAAAGAGTGTTGCAATAAAGCGAGTCATAACCTTTCTGCTGGTGGATGCTCTACCTCCAATGTGTAAAAAACACACCATCTGTGAAACGCCATAAAGTGAAAGGCAATACAAGAGGTATGCCTGTACACCCCTCTTCTGATTTTCCTCTCAATTACTGACACCATTGTCTGTCACGTTGCCCAAGCTGTAGACTGGGACTGTATTAAAATACCACCCCCCAATATCCAATCAGATCTGTTCATTCTACTTACTAAATATCTCATGAATTTTAGTTTTCCCCTCCTTCTCTCTCCAGCCTCACTTCTGCTCTGGCCAGCCTACTCTATATCTGAGAGTGGTCTCTCCCTGACCCCATGGTGTTTATATCTCTTCTCCCGACGATAGTCGTGTGCTCATTCATTTACAAACTTTGGAAAACAGAAAAGAAGAAAATAAGTCACCTGTGATTTCATTACCTTGAATAAGCTTTGTCTACATTTGGAGGTGATCCTTCCGATCTTTTTCTATGTAACTTATTAAAAAATGGAATCATGGATAGTGATTTCTGTGTCACCCACTTCTCTACTTAAAATAATATAACAGACCTTCATCTGATAGGATGATGTTCCCTCAGCATGGTGTTCAGGAATCTTCACCACTGGCCTTCAATGTTCACTCCCACTAAATTCTCCACATCTAAACCAAACCCAGAGCAGTGGCTGTTCTTAGGATGTGTAATGCTGTCCTACTCCCCTCACCCCCGCCCCACACTGTTGTCTCTGCCTAAAATGCCCCCCTCCCCAGTTCCCAACCACCCGACCACCTCAGCTTCAGCAAACACCCTGTGACCCCTGCAGGCTGCCATAGGGATAGGATAGCACAGTGGATGTGCCCACTGCCCTGCTTCTTGAGAAGTGAGGTGTCTTACTTTGGTATTCCTTGCCTCTAACATGGTGCCTGGCATATAGCTGCTGCTCAAATATTTGATGAGAGGGCCGGCCGAGTGGCGCCATGGTTAAGAACTGGCTTGGGACGCCAGAGGGCCCCGGTTCGGATCCCACATATGAGGGCCAGTGACACTGCCTTCCACAGCTAAGATGCTGAACAACAGCTCAACCTGGAAGCTGGGCTGCCATGAGTCGCCGGCGACGGCGTAGGCTGCAGCCCCTGTGGCAGTGGGTTGCCATGGGCTATTGTGTGTAGCCAGAAGCCAGCGTGAGCAGCCAGCAGCTGCAGTGAGCGGCCGTCCAGAAGCCGGCGACTGATCTGCCTCACCCGGGAAAAGCGCAATGATGGTGCCAACTTAGGCCAGTGAAGCAATGTCCTCCACAACTAGACTGAAGAACCAAAGGACAGCAACTTGTCTGTTTCCCTTCCCCCAATTCCCCAGCACTGTTCCCTTCCCCCCAATACCCCAATAAAAATCTTAAAAAAAAAAATATTTGATGAGAGAGGAATGAATGAACAGAGCAGAGGTCTCAACCTCACCTCTGAAGCTAACCAATAACCAGCACTCCACCTTAAAGTGCTAAAAGATGCCTTTAAATTTTACCTAAGTGAATGTCATGCTTCCCAGATACCACCCAGAAATATCTTAGCTTCAAGTAAGTTTTCAGAGTCGACACACCTCCTGTCAGGGATCCTAGAAAACGAGACCCATACTGGTAAGCGTGGAACCCAGGGGAGGCATCACGGACATGAGCGCCTCTGGACAAAGGGTTGGCAGCAGTGAAGACAGCAGAGCTGGGTAACTGGGATTTAAAGTTTGCTTCTGAGTCTAGCCTGAGGATACACTAGACACCCTGGTTTCTACTAGTGAGCTGATGAACGGGATCAGGGGTCGGGGGATAAACCCAGCCAAAACGCAGTCGGCCTGCGCAGCGGAGACAAAAGCCGCCATGCCCACTGACTCTTGCTCTCATCTCTGCTTCTTTTAGCATGGGGGTGAAGTATGGACTGAACTGCCCCCCTCCCCATTCATATGTTGTAGCTCTAATCCGAACTGTGACTGTACTTGGAAAAGCGGCTTTTAAACAGGTAATTAAGGATAAATAAGGCCACAAGAATGGGGTCCTAACCCAACAGGTATAAGAAGAGGAAGAGATACCAGGAGCGTGTGCAGAGAAGGCCATGTGAAGACACAGCAAGTCCGCAAGCCAAGGAGAGGCCTTGAAAACAACCCTGCGAGCACCTAGATCTTGGACTTCCAGCCTTCAGAACGGTGAGAAAATACATTTCTGTTGTTTAAGTCCCCGAGTCCGTGGTATTCTGTTCTGGCAGGCCTAACAGACAAGTACAGGGTGTCATACAAATTCTCTTGCTAAAAATGGAAATTTAAGGTAATTTGGAGCTGGCATTGTCAGATAAAAACAGGTAGACATATATTATTAACTTGAATGAGTATTTAAGTCTCATCACCCACCTGTTAGATCAAATAACAGCTTTTAAGTCTAAAGAAAAACTAGTGTAATTCTTTCCATTATGCAGCAAGGGTAGGAAGGGGAGCAGGATCTTCCACAGTGAGGTGGACAAGCAGGAAATGGAAACTGGAGGATGACAGTGAGAGAGCTCCTCTCCAACCGAAGGAACCACGTCCTCCCTCACACACACTTGCTCCTTACCACTCGTCTGGGGCTCCCCATATTCCTGCTGGGTCTTCTTGGGATGGAGCTGGGCAGTCAGTGACTCATGTGGCTTTCCCAAGGGGGCCAACTTGTCCAAAAGTGTGTCCTGTCTTTCTGAAGTGGTGGGGACCTGGGAACAATGAAGCACGATTGGGTTTGTGAGGTAGGTTTTGTGAAAGAACTTCAGAGAAGTTCAAAGATGATTAAAAGCAGCATCTGCCAGGGACACAGAAAAAGGGACAAATTCTCATTCAATTGCAAATGGCAATAATGACTAAAAGGGAGAAGACAGAGGCTAATGGCTGCAGTTGTGCACACTGGAGGGTGAAACTCGGTGTCACTTCTCAGTGATCGGCGGAGGTCCAGGATCATAGTCTTGAGACTTGGAAGGTACCTTAAAAGCCATCTGGCCCAACTTCCAGCCAATGGAGGCATTTCTTCTATAACTGTGTTGTCCAGCATGACAGCCACCAGCCAAATGTGGTTACTGAGCACTTGAAATAGAGCTAGTAAGAACTGAGATGTGCAAAGTATAAAATACATACCTAATTTTGAAAACAGACTACAAAAAAACAAAAAAAGATGTACATCTCATTTTTTATATTGGTTGCATATTTTGTCAAATAAAATATGTGATTTAATTTCACTTGTTTATTTAAATGAGGCTACTAAGAAGTTTTAAACACATGTATGGCTCACATTATGTTTCTGTTGGACAGTGCTGCTCTGCAACGTCCTTGGCATCTACTGGGACCCCACCTTCAGCACTCCTGTGGAAAGGGATGTTTTTACTGCAGGGTAGCCCAGTTTATAGGTCAGAAAATTCTTTGTTTTTCTGATACCTATGTGCCTTCCTGTACCTTCTCACTGATCCTAGCCTTCCATACTGATAATCAGTCTAGTGTCTCCTCACTCAGCCCCCGAGACCTGTCTTCTCTCCGGTAACAAGTTAAATAACTCCATACACCCTGCTCTGTCGGTCAGGGGACCGCTCCCACCTGCTCTGGGCGTCCATCCAGCTCTCGCTCCAGACCCTCCAGCACAGTCACCGCCTCCTCTCCGGTCTCGGGATGGTGCGCCTGCACCCACGCGCGCAGGTCCCGGGGAAGAATGCTCAGGAACTGCTCCAGCACAAGCAGGTCTAAAATCTGCTCCTTGGTGTGGCACTCTGGCCTCAGCCACTGGCGGCAGAGCTCCCAGAGCTGGGTGAGGGCCTCCCGGGGCCCGGGTGCGTCCTGGTAGCACAGCCTCCGAAAGTGCTGCCTGAAGACCTCGCTCCTGCGTGGACTGCGCTTCTGTGGGGTGGAGTCCTGTGCCCGGCAGCGGTCTTCTGCCTTAACTCTTCTAAGGCCTTTTTGTCCCTCGGGTTCCAGGGCTGCGGCCATCTGGGCTGGTTTTCAGATTAATCCTCTACCTGGCAATGATTCAAGGAGAAGCAGAGAAAAAGCTGTCACCGTGGAGAAACAGCAAAAGCGGCTGTGACCACGAACACCAGTGAGGGCAAGCGACCAGGGCTGAGCAGAGAGGAGGCTGTGAAAAGGGGCGCCGCAGGGGGGCGCGGACTTGATTCTGGGCCGTGAGCCGCGGACAAGCCTCGCCTGGCCTGGAGCCGCCGCTCCATCTAAAATGCTCGCGCGCAAAGCCCGGACCCGGCAGCCGGCTCGGCTCGGCTCGGCGCACGCCCAGCATCTCCAGCCCCGTTCAGCCCGAGACGCGCAGCTCGCCAGGGCGCAGCGGTCCGGGTGCGCGCGCCGGCCCGGGGGCGGCCTCCCCTCTGCCCGTCCTCTCTCGGGGCTGGCCGCAGCCGCACCTGCCCCTTCTCCACCCAGAAGCCGGGAGAGACTCACCTCACGCATGGAGGGGACCGCGGCGACAGCGGCGTCCTTGTGCGACCCGCAACAAAGGCGTCACTCACACCGAATTGGCGCCGGCGCCGCCGGCCGGCACTTCCGGCCACTCTAGGAAGCCGGTCTCGGTGGCAGCCCCGCTGCTGTCCAGCCACTGATGGGCCTGCGGGACAGCAAGCTCGGTATCGTTGCTGTTTTTAAAAAAACTTTCCCGTCTCAAGATTTTCCAGGTTTAATTATTTAAAAGGCAATATGAATAAATAATGCATTCACATGGTTCAATATTTAAAAATAAATGTACCCCAGCATCTAGTTTTGAACACCTACGTTTTTCGTGACTTATCTTGCCCTACATAAATGACAGCATTTCTGCACCTTGCTTTTTCCTCCCAGCAATTGATTTTGGGGATTGTACATAAGGACTTCCTCGATCTTGCACTTTTTCAAAAAACAACTGCATAGTATTCTTTATATGTGCCATAGTTTATTAATAATTAACCCACGGATGGTCATGTGGATGAAAAGGGGGCCACATACTAAACCCGACAAGCTCAGGGGAGGCCTGCATGGCAGGCCCTACAAACTCAGAGACCAAGAGTAACCACCCAGGATGGTCTCAACATAAAAATTCCTAACTAAAAGTGGGTCACAGGAGTAGTCACATCCTAGGCCTGTTGCTTCTTTGACAAAGGTCTGTCTTTACCTTAAGTGAGCCTGTCTCTTGTCTTTCTGCATCTAAGATAACAGACCTTTGAAATGTCAGTGTAATCTTTTGCAGAGGCACAGCCCATGCACCAGAGCATGAGACCATAACCCCTCATTGGTATCTTGTCCCTCAAATCTGTGCTGTAAATGTTAACTATCCTGCACCCACAGTGTAAAAGAACTGTGTCTCTCGCTTTTACTTTTGTTCCAATTCCAGAGATCCCCTTTGCTTTCTCCCGCATAACCTTGTAACTACTGACAAGTTGTCGAACTCCTTTATACCCAGAATTTTCTTCAATAAAATGATAATTACTATTTACCAAGGATCTTACAGGATAAAAAAAGGTAACATGTGCAAGGCATTTTGAGTATACATTCGTGTGCTGGTATACATTGCAGGGCCTTTCTTTTCAGTACGAATTCCCTCAGACCTCTCCCATAACTGTCAGTAGCCGAAGGACCTTGTTGCTGTCAAGAGCACTCCCCACTCACTGCAGTCTCCATCCACTCACCCCAGAAACTACACAGCACATGTGGCAGTAACATCCTGATTCGAGTACCGTGTCAGCCTCCTCCATATTCTTAGGTTCAGTTCCATTTGAATGCCATTCCTCACCTGTAACCCCAACTCCTGCTGGATTTCCTTCCACTCCCCTGGTCTTATTTGAATGTCTAGATTCAGGCCTCTTGCCTTGGATGCTCTTCTGGTTCCTACTTCCTGGCATGACCTCTGGACATAGATATCGGCCTACGTATTGGAATGTCACCGTCGCACGTCCTCTTGTTCATTTACCTTTGTTGAGTCTTCGTTTTTCACAGCAGTGTTCTGAAAGCACTCTTCTGCTGTGCATTGCTCGAGCCACTCCTCTCCTGGCTTGGCCCATCTCCTCTTGTGCAGAATCATTAACTAGGGTTGATGATCAGTCTCTACCTGAATCTTTCTCTCCCCCTACCCCCATGTGATCATGGTGATTTCCCAGGAGGGTCCTTTTTTCCCCTCTCTCTATTGCCATAGGCTAACTGACTTATTAGCCTCCCTCAAATCCACTCATCTGGTTTGACTTTGGCAGTCAATGGAAGAAGAGACACATCCCCAGTGTCACAGTAAGCACCCAGAGAGGTGAGACCTATGCAGAACACAGGGCCAGAGAGCCAGAGAGAAAGAAAAGAGACATTGCTTGTTCAGTCATTCATCTTACCCAATGTTTATTGTGTATTCAATGTTTTTCACGTTTTGCTATTTTCTCAGCATTTCATACGAATTTAAGTCCCTTACATTAATAGGTTTTCCCTCTTGTGAATTCTCTGATGTTGAGTAAGGTGTGAGCTCTGACTGAATGCTCTCCCACACTTGTTACATTCATAGGGTTTCTCTCCAGTATGGATTCTCAGGTGCCGAATAAGGTGTGAGCTCACTCTGAAGGTTTTTCCACATTCGCTACATTCATAGGGTTTCTCTCTGGTGTGAATTCTCTGATGCAGGATAAGATGTGAGTTCAGGCTGAATGCACGTCCACATTCTGTGCATTCAAAGGGTCTTTCGCCAGTGTGGATTCTCTGGTGTCTGATAAGATCGGAGCTCCCACCAAAGCCTTTCCCACACTCATTACACTCATACGGCCTCTCTCCAGTGTGGATTCTCTGATGTCTAAGAAGCTTGGAGTTGTGTCTGAACGCTTTCCCACATTCATTGCAATGATGGGTTTTCTCTCCACTGAAGATTGCTGCCTGTTTAATAAGATTTCGGCTCTTGAGAGATTTTACATATGGATGAATTTTTTCTCCAGCATAAATTCTTTGATGCATAATAAAACCTGAATTCCATTTGAGACTTTGGTCAGAGGTAGTGTGTTTACAAGGTTTTGGGTGTGTAACTTCATTTGAATTCAGGTTTAAGCTTCTCTCACATCCATCAGGGCTTATTAGTTCATCTGTGAGAGTATTTTTGTGGGTGAGGATTTTGGTAGGACCTCCATCCTGAGCAGATGATGATCTCTGCCACTCCCCAGGTTCATTTTCCCGTTGCCTCTTTATTCTGCCTGCCGACTTCCAGATGTCCTGAGGCTCAGCAGATCCTTCTGATACAAATCCTGAAATCCTTCCTGACATTATTCTCTGTGATTTCATTTTTTCATGAAGGTCCAGATTTGGCATAGACTCCTTGTTTGCACTCCTGTTATCTAAAATAATAACAATAATAATAATAATAATAATAATTAAAAAAGAAGTGAATACCTGTTTCCTGAGCTGGAAGAAAAAAACATGTGGAGATACACCCAAGGTGGTTGTTAGACATCGGTACTTCACTTGACCACTCTAAAATGTGGCCTTTCACATGAGAGGCATGAAGGACCCCAAAGAAAGAGTTGGTAAAAGCAAGTAACATATGCAGTGGTTGGCAGAGAGAAGAAAGAGTCATCCAAGGATGAGCGGTTAAAACAGAGCAGATTGGGAAGAAGGTCATCACCAGCAAGGGCAGGGTAGAGACAAAGTAAGGAGAAAGGACTATGCAATGTGACTGAGGGATTTGGGGAACTGTGGGCCTATGATATATTCCAGGGTTAGGCTTAGAGGGGGAAAGGGAGGCACCATCACAAAGCAAGCAGACAAGGACACAGACGCAGGGAGAAAAGTAACGCTATAAATGATGGTGGGGTATGTGTGGAGGAAAACATCCATCATCCATCCATCCATTTCTTCTTCATCATCATCCGTGGCAATCAGGTTCTGTCACTGCTTTGTGTTAACTGTCCCCTATTTACATCCCTTTCTCTACCTTTCTGCTACCATCGCCCTAAGTCAAAAACCTCAGCACTTCCTAGCTAGGTGACTGTAACAGTCTCCTTGCTGTTTTGACTCTGAACTGTTCTTCTTCCTAGTCAAACTAAATACCCTTACCAGACTGTCATTAAACCTTGTCATCCTCTTATATCCCACCATGAAACCTTTCTTCCACAATGTATCTGAACGCCTCAACCTGGTTTGCAGAAACCATTTACGGTCTAGTGCTCACAATTCCTACCGTGCAGCTTGTGACTGTGTACTGTGCTCATGCTCCACATCATGCTGGAATCAAGCAGCCCCCCCTTTGTTATAGGGTTTCCTTTCTTAGAATATGCTAGGGCAGGGAAGGGGGTCAGGCACTGCTGGTCTTGGGGGAAGGAGGTACAATTTTTAGATGGTGTGGATGGAAATGTTTCCAGAAAAAACTTGTAAACAGAATCTGGGTATTTTAAAAAATGATTGTAATTTATTCTTGGATATATTTGGGGGTCATTCACACCTAAAGTGATACTGAGTATATGAACTTTTAAACAGATGAGTTTTAGAACAGAGATGAGTATTCTACGGAGATAGTCACCAAAAGTATGGTTAACTTTGTATAAAAATGTAAGAGAGCTTTGTAAGGTCAAAAGTACAAAAAAGGGCAACACTATGGCTCTTGTTCTACGTATCTGTGAATTACGTTCTGAGTGTAAAATCACGTATCAGCCTTTTTTTCATTATATGCCCTTCTCTATTAGTGTGTTTGTTTCTATCCACGTGCTTCTTTTCTCATTTTCTGACATTTTCTCAACTCATTCACCTTTCTTTCCTTAAATTTGCCCCTAAGGTAAAAATTTCCCATATTTTGGACATACGCGTATTCTGGACAAAGAATGTATTAAAAAAATGCAAATATTCTGGATAAGGATGAAAATTCTCTAATTGGTCAGTGACACACAAGAAAAAGTTCTCTACTTCTCTTCAGGTACTAAAGAACCACCTACAGCACTAGGGCTAGTCTAAGAAGGGCCCTTCACTGTCACACTCCTCAGTGACATACACTGCAAAGAACACTGCCCCTTACCATAGGCAGGTAGGAGACGGGTTTCAGAGAAACCATGACTGGCCTTGGTGTCCACTGACTGGAGCTGGTCACTAAGCACTGGTCCAAGAGGTGCTACCTTTCTCCTGAATATTTCTTGTCCATGTCCAGGGACTGGAACCTGAGAAAAATAAAGTACATTTGGCCTTAGGAGAGATCCCTGTTGGAATTAAGCATCTTCCTCAAAGAAACAGAACCTCCTGTGTGAATACAAAACAGGGGAATGAAGAGTTAAGTCTGACTCAACTGTAAGATGGGGTAGAGTACCGAACAGAGAGCAAAGGGGACACAAATGCACCCTGAACTGAGCTCGTCCAAGATAGTCAACCTCAGGCCTTTTCTTCCCATGGTGAAACCGCATCCATTCAGGAGGTCTCAGCTCTGCCACGCCCTCTGTACCTGGAGCACGGCTTCATCAGTGTCTCTCCCCACATCTTCCACTATGGTCACTGCCTCCTCGCCACTCTCTGGGTGACGTTCACGCACCCACACCTGCAGGTCCCCAGGCAGGATGCTCAGGAACTGCTCCAGCACCAGCAGCTCCAGGATCTGCTCCTTGCTGTGAGTTTCTGGCTTCAGCCACTGATGGCAGAGCTCCCGGAGCCGGCCCAGCGCCTCGCGGGGCCCAGCGGCATCCTGGTAGCAGAGCTGCCGGAAAAGCTGTCGGCAGAGCTCCTGCTTGACAGAGTCCCTGCTCGGTGAGCAAGTGTCCTGTCCCCAGACAAAATCTTCCTCTTCTATCTTCACTATGAGAAGTCTTTCATCCTCCAAAAGGGTCTCAGCTGCGGCTCTCTTGGATTCTGTGGTCATCTTGGGGTTGAATGAATTATCAGAAAACCCACTTCTGCTTTTTGAAGGGTCTTATTTAGTTTCAAGAGCTCTCCTGAGGGGTAAACATATTATTATTACTGTGTAGGAAAATGAAAGATCACATCACAGAAAGAGTCATTTTCTATTACACACAAATGTACTGGGCATTTACTGTGTGCAAAAGCACAGACATATCTGCTTTGTGAACACAACTGTTATAAAATTTCTACCTCAAAGCAGCTTACAATTTAAATCTAAAAACAAGATCATTTAAATTAAAAACATTACATATAATATAAATATAAGGCAGTACTATATGTTAACATGCTACATGCAATTCAATTACGTGTAAGTTATAAAGACAATAAGAACCCCAAGAGAAAACCGATAAAAGTGCTTCATGGAATTGGAGACGGGAGCAAGCACAGTAGGCTGCAATGGTCAGGGAAAGCTCAACTTACAAACTAATTTCTGAAGAATGGATAGGATTTGACTAGGATATGGGAGAGAGAGAAGTAATAAATTACAAACAACTAAACAGCCAGAAGAACTGAATAGTAGGAGCACAGAAGTGGGAAAGCAGAAATTCAGTAGGTTTGTCCAAGGAAATGACAGAGGCAAAGGCCCTACTCTAGAAAGCCTCAAAAGTCAAGTTCACAATCCAGAGTTTACCGTTTAGGCCCTGGGGAGCTTTTGAGCAGAGTGACCTGACAAATACCATTTGTGGAGATTAATGTATTACTAATTTCCAGGATGGACTGTAATATGGAAAGATAGAAACATAAAGGACGGCTTTCCTTCCGTCTCAACAGTTCCTTCTTTGCCTTCCTACTTTCACGGCTCAGTCCAGGTCTTGGACATTGAGGTCTATCGTCTCACAATAAAATAAAATATAATAAACCAGCAACACGGCTTTCTCATCTGAGGTCTGAGTCTTGTTACTGAATATCAGTTCTCCAAGTCTTATCAGCGTATGGGAATGGTCAGTCTGCTTTCTGAACTAAAAAACTGAATACCAGGAATTTAGAGGTGAACTGGAGTACAACTGTGAAAGGTAAATGTCAATCTCTCACGTCCACAAAACATTTCATCAAGTTGGCTACTGACTGTTGCACTGACATGTGCAACATGCTTTATTAACCACCTTACCACAAGCAAAGCTCTGGGCAGTGGTTTCCAAGAAAGGCTGAGCTTAGAGCTAGGCTCACTGCCTAATCACCATGTGGGAACTTTGTTAGAAACAGCTTCCTGGGCCCTGCTCCAGATATGCTGACTTGGTTAGTATGGGGGACGCCTGGCAAATCTGTATTTTGATGTACAGCTGTAAGAAATTAGAAAAAAACATAGTTTGAGTTTGCAAAACAGCTGGAAAAAATGACATAAAGCACACACAGATATAAAACATTTAACTAACAAGACATGTTCCACATGACACACCCACTAAAAATGCTTGATATATGTTGAAAGCTGAAGTACTAAACAGGTTGTATGGTGGAGACACTGAATATCCTAATGGTTCTCAGGTAGGGAGAGAATGTCTGTGTATGTGTACAAATGGTAGTAAATATTTCTAGAGGTGGTGCGGCTTAAGCTGGATGAAAAAAGAGGAGAAAGATTCAGAAAGGCAAAAAGGGAGGGACAGGGGAAGAGTTGAGGAAGTGGGCTGATGGCAAGACCAGCGTGCAGGTGCAAAAGCTGGAGTGACTAAGAATTCCACTACCTCTGACAGGAATTCATCACCTCTACTCTGAGTTCCTACAGCTCTTAACACATAACATCTGTGACTACAACACATACCACCTTGTATTATTTTTAGTTGGGCTGTTTTTCTTCATCAATTGACTGGAGCTCCACGAGGTAAAGGACCATATATTATTAATATTTATTCTTAAGCTCTCACATTTGTCGACTTATTGAATAAAAGTGGAAATTAGGAAAGCTGGAGGTGTCTCGTGATTTGGATATTCTACAGTTAAGATGATCAGGAGACATCCACGTGGAAAAACGTTTCCAAATGATATTAGGAGATTTATAAGGTAAGGAACAAGGAATGGAATTACAGATTTAGACACGATCCATGGAAAGGGCAGTTGAAGATAAATATCAAGAATAACACTCCGAGAGTATGAAATGAAGATCGGAGGCTCAGACTGAGCCTTGGAAAGAGCTTGAGTGGGAATAAGAAAGAACAAAGTTTAGCAATGACAGGCAGGCGAAGGGGTTAGTGCTACGGTATATCCATGAGGCAGTCTCGATCCTTCACAGTTTGCTGGGACAATCATTTGACACAGGTCTAATCTCACTTCTTGTTATGTTTCCTAAATGCGTTGGGTGCTTACCAGGTAGTGTCCTAATGCTTTATGGGCATATCTCATTTAGCACAGGAAGATGGACAGTAAAGTCGGCCTACATGATCCACGGGTTGCTTACACTTCAGTGATCACGCCAAGTGCCGGTTCCACAACATATGGTATCTCCTTAGACAGCTTAAGGACTCCAGGTGTTTCATAACTTCCCATCCATTTCTAACAGCCCACGACTCTAGAATTATCTAGTCCTCAAGGATTTGATATACGCCCCTAAAGCTGGTTCTTAAGTGTTTTACTAACTTCAAGCTCATAAACATTCATTGAGCATCACCGTGTTGGGGGAAGAGTTACAAAAATAGCTAAGCGGACACGTAAACGAACACAGGAAGGTGGCGGTTCGGAAAGAGCAGGGCTCCTGGTGGATCACTGGGTCCCTGGTGCGCCAGTTCGCGCAGAAGGACCGGGAACAGTTCCGCTGGCGGGGGAGGGGAGTGAGGGGACACGTGTGTCACCGGCGGCGCCGCTGGGCAGAGCGTGTCGGGGAGGCGCCCACAGCACCTCCGCCCACGGAGGCATTCTGCTGTCCCTCCTAGGCCGCGGGCAGGGGCTCAGCGCTGGCTTCCCTGCATCCCCGGCACACGGGAAATACTCACTGAGCAGCTACTGTGTGAACAGCTTCCATGAAGAGGCCGCGGGGGCCCCACTTTTCCTACGAAAAGCCGGTAGCTCCTCGCCTGAGAAGCAGGCGTTGGGGGCGGACTCCGGGGTAGCTTCTCCCGACAAGAAGCAGCGGATCCGACACAGACGCCGCCCTTCGGGGTCGCGCCCGGTCCGGCCAGGGCTCTCCTCTCCCCAGCGACCCCCGACCCTCAGCAGCCGGACTTCCAGCCGCCCCAGCCACACCCCCTCAGCTCTCACGACGACGCATCGCGCGGCCGGGTAACTATGGAAACCACACACTCCCCTGAAAGTGGGCGTGTGCGAATATCCTCCCGACGCCGAACCGGGCTCCACCTTTTCTCGGGATTCCGCTGAGGTCCCGGGTCAGGGCGCCGCAAGACGGCTGCAGTCCCGAAGGGAACATGGTAGGGACTGCGTGTTTGGAGAGGACAAAGGGCCGGACATCTGGATCCACAAGCCGGACTCACCTCTCCCACGGGTTGGTTCTGATCGGTCACTTCCGGTGGAAGGACCGCACCGCGTCCTAGCTCCAACTTTCTGTCGTCACAGACTTCTGAGTCTGCGCAGAAGACGACACGCCCGCTTGGACTGCGCTTCCCAGAAGCCTCCGGTCCCCTCGGCGCTCGGACTCCGTTTTCCAGGAGCCTCGCCAGCGTCCGGACGTTGACAGACCTTCAAGGAGGAGGAGTTTCGTCCCCGCTTTGTGGCGCCAGATTCGGCTTCGCTGCGCCCTGGCGGCGTGGGCGTCCACTGCAGCCTGGAGCCCTGAAGTCGGCAGGAATGACCGCCGACTTCACCCGTGCAAAGCTTTCCTGGAATTTGATTCATCCCCCAACCCCGGTGGGACTCAGACATACCAAATGCGATTATTATCCCTGGCTCTAAAACGTGAACATTCCTGGGTCCATTTCCCAGTCTGTAAGAACAATAATTTACTGCCAGTTTCTTTTATGTCCCTCTCCATAATACCTCCTCTCATCTGACAGAACCACTATTACAAACTTTGTTTATCATCCCTTTACTTTTATAAAAGATAATTCTATCAGGTACATATGCATGGCCAAACAATATGTGTTTCAGTTTTAGCTGTTTTCTTCGATCTAGAAGGCATCACGTCATAGGTACTCTGATACTGCCTTTTCACTCGAGAATGTTAGTCAGATTTGTCCACATTTTGAGTTAAAATTAATTTTCATTACTGTATAATCCAGTTGTGAATATAGCATTGCATTCATCCGTTCTCCTAAAGATGGGCCGATACGCTATTATCTAGCTTCTGGATTACTGCAAGTAATCTCTTAAATGGTCCCTCTGCTTCTACCAGTGTCCTCCACAGTCTATTCTCAGTAGAGCAGCCAGAGGGTGCCGTTGAAGCCTAAATTCTGTCATGCTACTGAAGGGTATCAGAATATGCCTCCCCCGAACATGCTGCTTCATAGATTATCTTGAGCTGTAGGCACTTGAAAGCCAGCAAATAGAGAGGCTTCTTCTGACACACACCGCCCCCCCCCCATTCTGCCTACAGACAGAGTCTCCAAAAGGAGTTCAATTGTCATTAATCCTCTCCCTGGGGGTTCATCAACCAGAGAAGATTGATTCTTATCACAGGAGAGGAGTACCCATGCAATCAACTAAAGAGTCAATTTCCTAGTCTCTCTTGCTGTTAGGAGCGTTCAATTAAATGTATGAATATTGGTTTTTGCATAATAATGTGTTGGATTTCCTGGAAAGCTCTATAAGTGTGCTGACTTAGATGAAAGACGCCATCATTTTGCTTCTTCCTTCTCTCTGATGGCTGGAGCTCCAATTAGCCAACATGACCATGTGGTTACCTTGAGGGTGGAAGTTGTATGCTACAGATGGTAGAATAGAAACATAGAAGAGGAATGGGTCCTTTATGACCGTGAAGCCACCATACCGATTATAAACTTCCTACCTTAGACTCTTCATTTATGTGAGGTAAATATAGGTGCCTACTCCTCCATCCAGGCATTGGTGGTTCAGTGGTAGAATTCTCGCCTGCCACGCGGGAGGCCCGGGTTCGATTCCCGGCCAATGCAGGTATCTTCGTTTTTTTAAAAAATTCTTACTTACAAGATCTTCTAATCTTGTTGAAGACATTCCAGTTCCGAGGTCGGGTGGTACTTTAGACACGCCCACTTTACCCTTGTTCCATTGTCTGACTATGAAACTGGAGGGCTGGCGGGCGACGGGGCTGTTTTCTAACAGAAAGATTGAATATTTTGCGTTCAGAATATTTGGACTCTGTATTATGGAGTAATTGTCCTGTTTGAAACATAAGTAAAGCAACAAATGACCTTTGAGGGAGAAAAAATTTCTTTTTAACACATAAAAACAGTTTTTAAAAGGAAGTGTAGTAATGAAATTATTTTATATTGAGGCCATTGTAGCGGTAAGCAGAGTGGCGCAGCGGAAGCGTGCTGGGCCCATAACCCAGAGGTCGATGGATCGAAACCATCCTCTGCTAGTAGTTTTCCATATGAGCCGTTTGTAGCAAAAAACGTAATTTTACCAATTCTTGTGCCTCCCACAGTTCTAGAGGGGAAGTGTTCTCAGTCCAGGCAGGAAAATTTTGAGACAAAAACAACATAAAATCAGAAAGGTTCTAATTAAGAAATGTCACATGTACCATCGCAGAGAACAGAATTAATGTTACCCATCTGCTGAAAGCTGAAAGGTCTCCATCTCTACCTACTACCATATTTTAAACAAGAATGTAAATTTCGAGTTTGAAAGGATCATATGCAGCTATTTTCAGTTTTAGAGATTCAGTTAAAGGGAGTTGGGAGTATTTAAAATTCTAATTCTCCCAACAATCTCAAACCTTTGTTGTTTTCCTCCTTAGCACTTATTACTGTGTGGTATGTTTTATTTATTCATTTAGTATTTTCTTCCCAGTGGGATGTAAATTTACAAGAACAAAGATTTTTGTCTGTTTTCCTACTGTGGTTGCTGTTGTAGCTAGCACACAGCCTGGGCACATCTGAATCACTTGTAATTTGGTAAAGACTGTTAAAAGCCACAATCTCTAATACACCAAAGAGCAGTATTTGTCATTCGTCTTCACCTTTTCCTTTTACCTTTCAAAAAAATTACAGAAGGGTACCAAAATGACTACACAGAAGTGATCTACTATTTAACATTAACTACAAACCTCTTTTACACTTAAAGAAAACCCCCCCCACATAAAATCAAAGTACTCTTCAACTGCACCCCCAACCCTAATATCCACTTTCTCAGGGGGTACCTCTGTAGTGAATTTGATGTGAATCTCTCCTATTCCTTTTTTTTAAATGAGTATTTTTTTTCTTTGCAAAGAGCCTGGGAACAGCTCACATTAGGCTTTCATTTAAATAACAATGCTTATTTAAAAAAGCATTCACTTTATGAGCAGCCACACAAAAGGCTTTCCTTTACAATACTGTGAATATGACATCTATCTCTGTGTGCTATTCTATGACCAAACATACAAGCATAGCTAATGTTTACATGATGTCTGGAATGGGCTATATTTATTTGACTTTCAGTTGGGTCCAAATTGGAGGTTTTAGAAATCTTATCATTAAAGTTCTTTTGTGACTGTATTTAATTTTATTTCCACGTGAAATTCCCATCACAAGTAAAGAACCACAGTATGCAGTTAAGATGCCAGGTGAGGTCCTGTTCCACTTTCACTATTGCCTACATATATGCCCCCGGCAAATACAATTTCCATCTGAGATGAATTTTAAAACACTGCTCTCAGTAACAAGCTTTTTAATCTCAAATAACCACAGGCACTTGTGATTAATCTAAAAAAAAAAAAAAAGCCAAGAAAGATAATACATTCCTTGCTATTTTTTCCTGGGTCCTATTTTACAAATAAAATTTCAGTTTGTTCTTGGATAATTGTCACCATAGATGGAGCATCTCCTCCAAGTGGCAAATTCAGTTTACCTCCTACTCCTCTACGAGGCACTTATTCTGCTCTCTATATGAAGTTTCTTATTAACAAGCATAAAAATGAAAAGAGAGCAGTTATATTGAGATGGTCATTTTGAAAATAACCAGAGGCTCTGGGGCCTCAAAGCATTCTCTTTGTATAGTGCAGTGGTTCCCCCCTTATCCGCAGTTTCACTTTCCAAGATTTCAGTTATCTGTGGTCAACCAAGGAAACCAAATGGAAAATTCCATAAATAAACAATTCATATGTTTTAAATTTCGAGCTGTTCTGAGTATCATGATGAAATCTCCTGCTATCCTGTTCCACCCTGCCAGGGGTGTGAATCATTCTTTTGTCCAGTGTATTCACCCTGTAGACACTCTTCACTGGTTGTAGCTATCTGGCTTCATGGCATCACAGTGCTTGTGTTCAAATGGTTTTATTTTATTTAATAACAGTTCCAAAGCATAAGAGTAGTGATGCTGGCAATTCAGATAGACCAAAGAGAAGCCGTAAAGTGCTTTCTTTAAGTGAAAAGGTAAAAGTTCTTGATTTAACAGGGAAAGAAAATCATATGCTGAGGTTGCTAAGATTTACTATAAGAATGACTCTTCTGTGACATTGTAAGGAAGAAAACAGAAGTTTGTGTTAGTTTTGCTGTCACAACTCAAACAGCAAAAGTTACGTCCACAGTGTGTGATAGGTGCTTAGTTAAGATGGGAAAGGAATTAATTTGGGGGCAGAAGACAAGAACAGAAAACGTGTTCCGGTTGACAGTAATGTGTTGTGCCAGAAAGCACTGAGCCTCTGTGAAGACTTCAGCAAGGGACCCCCTGAAATGAGAGAACACATTCACATAACTTTTAGTATAATATAGTGTTATGATTGTTCTATTTCATTATTGTTACTTTAAATTTCTTACTATGCCTAATTTATAAATTAAACTTGATCATAGGTATGTAAGTATAGGAAAAACTACGTATAGGGTTTGGTGCTCTCTGTGGTTTCAGGCATCCACCGTGGGTCTTGGAACATACACCCCACAGATAAGGGGGACTTGCTGTACTGCTTTTTCCAAGATTGAAACAAAGCTTGTCATAGGTCACACTGTTAGCAAAAGCTTCAAGTGATCTGCATTAAGATTTGTAGACACACAGATTATTTCTGCTGGAAGGCACTCTGCAGGTCACTTTTAGTTGACTGGGAAGATGAGACAATGCAGTGAATTACAGAGTGTGGTAGCCGTTGGCAGCCTGGGTGGCGGCAGGCTGAATGCAAACAAGACTAATAATAATTCCTCAAAGTATCAGCCTTCAATTAGTCTTCACTTTATAGTTTTGGATGCCAAGTGCAGAGATTTCCAAATCTCACTTTCCCCAAGGCCTAGAAGCCCTTTGGGGATGGAGTGTGTATGTGTGTGTGTCGGGGGAAGGACGGCGGGGGGGGGGGGCAGTAATTCTCTGACAGCGCTGTCTGCCCATCTGATGAGGTTTGGAAGAGGAAAATGAGACTGAGACCTGTTTACCTCTGTCCCCCATCTTGCTCTCCACACTCGTCAGCTGGAACCATTTGTGTTTTATTAATATCCATGTCCGATGATGGGGTAAAGGTGTAGTGGCCACTGTAACAAGGTCTCTTCAGACCAAGAGGAAGCAGGCAACTCCATGGACTATAACAGAATTTATTATAGTGTAACTTACTTAACAGGAAGATTGCGTCAGAGGGGAACAGAACCAGCAGTTTTGCATGAATTATTCTCTGCTACCTGTACCCTGTTACAGTACCTTTTTAAAACAGTTTAACTGGGGTACTGATGACTGACGAGACGAAGAATGCAGTAGCACAAGGGGCCACACACACCGCCAGGTGGTCTTGTGATTAGATGATTGCTTGTCATTGACACTTACCAGTTTGATACTTGTATTTATCTCTGTTGTCATGCCATTTCTGGATGTTGCTAACAAAAATATTTATGTCTACATTAAGGAACACAGATCATAAACTAGAAAGCTTTGATACGCTTGCTAAAGACAGTGAAATTGGTCAAAGGTCACAGCACGCAACTTAGACATAAAATGAAATCCAGAACACATATGGACTTGGTTATGTTCACATCTGCATCTACACAGAGATGAAAAGGTAGCAGTGGATGTTAAAAGCTTTGAAGAGTATTTAGGCACCCTCGGAAGGTGCTGGGGGGGAGGTTGATTTTGCCTCCCACCTTGAGTCCCCACTCCGTTTTGCTGGCTAGCTCACCATTCAGCCCACTTGCTAGCTCTGGTGTCTCCTCTGGGGCCCACTTCTCTTTTAAACATGGAGTTCTGACTCATGTCTCAGGATGGCTTTTTAAAATTATTTTAATTATAGTTGACATTCAATATTACTTTATATTAGTTTCAGGTGACAGCACAGTGGTTAGAAGTTTATATAACTTACAATGATCTCTCAGATAAGTCTAGTACCCACCTGGCACCATACATAGTTGTTACAAAATTATTGACCATATTCCCTATTCTGTACTTGACATGCCAGGGACTGTTTTGTACTCACTGCCAACTTGTACTTCTTAATCTCTTCACCTTTTATCCCAGCCCCCCAAGCCTTCTCCCATCTAGCAACCATCAGTTTGTTCTCTGTATCTGAGTGTTTTATTCGTTTATTCTGCTCTTTAGATTCCACATATAATATGGTACTGTACTTGCCTTTCTGACTTATTTCACCTAGAATGATACCCTCTAGGTCCATCCATGTGGTCCCCAAGCCTCAGGATTTCTGATCATGGACTAGCCCAGGATACGATGCACAAGGTAGAACCGTTGATGTTGAGCTTAAGACTCGGACTGCAGGGCCGGGTGACTTCCCTCAAGGAATGCAGGGGTCACAATTTTACCCTCCAGAGAATTTCCTGGAAACGCGTACCAGATAGATTATATAGCAAATTTACAGCGCAGAGCGGGCTTTTCAAATACTGGCCCTTCCGATCAGAATGACAGCATTACTTGCACTGAGCGTCACCAAGAGCGGAATTTGGCTACTGTGCCAGAGGGCAAAGCCAAGTCTTTCACAGGACGTCTTTCAAAGAACCAACACTAAGTTGGCGTATACTACGCCGAGTGCTTACTCAGGAATCCGTACGGAAAGCTTAACATTTTGCTCTGGTCTCCACGTACCTCCCGCTCCCAAACCAGCCCGTAACGCTTCTGAGAAACTACATAGATTACAGAGGTAATGCAACAGCTATTTCTGTGAAGTGAGTAGCTCTGAAGAGAGCCTTTGGGGCGGGAGCTAAGCCGCTGAGGTGCGCTCACTTAGAGCTGGTGTACTTGGTGACGGCCTTGGTGCCCTCGGACACGGCGTGCTTGGCCAGCTCCCCGGGCAGCAGCAGGCGCACGGCCGTCTGGATCTCCCGGGACGTGATGGTCGAGCGCTTGTTGCAATGCGCCAGGCGCGACGCCTCGCCCGCGATGCGCTCGAAGATGTCGTTGACGAACGAGTTCATGATGCCCATGGCCTTGGACGAGATGCCCGTGTCCGGGTGCACCTGCTTCAGCACCTTGTACACGTACACCGCGTAGCTCTCCTTGCGGCTGCGCTTGCGCTTCTTGCCGTCTTTCTTCTGCGCCTTGGCCACCGCCTTCTTGGAGCCCTTCTTCGGGGCGGGCGCCGACTTGGCCGGCTCGGGCATGGTCGTGGGGAGCAGCGGGACCAAACGGAAAAACGCAGGAGAGACGGAACGTGAAGCTGCGAGCGGCCGCGCGCGCCCCAGCCTCTTAAAGGAGGCGATGAACAAAGTCGCGGCTGATTGGCGGCGAGGCTGGAAATGTCACACGCGAACGTCGGCCAGTCAGAATCGGCGTATTTCAAACCCCGGGCTCCATTGGTTTAAGCGAAAGGGCTGCAAGTCCGCTCGGCACGACTATAAGAAGGGGCGCCCTGGGCGGCTCGCCTCAGACTCGGGTCGGCGCTGCGGCTTCTTCGTTATCATGTCCGGACGCGGAAAACAGGGCGGCAAGGCGCGCGCTAAGGCCAAGACGCGCTCGTCGCGGGCCGGCCTGCAGTTCCCCGTGGGTCGCGTGCATCGGCTGCTCCGCAAGGGCAACTACGCCGAGCGGGTCGGGGCCGGCGCGCCCGTGTACCTGGCGGCCGTGCTGGAGTACCTGACGGCCGAGATCCT